CTGCGCTCCCCGCTGGAGGGGACGGGCCCTGCGCTGTGTGGGGCCCTACGCCCCCTGCTGGAGGGGACAAACCCTGTGCTCTGTGTGTGTCCCTGCGCCCCCCGCTGGAGGGGACGGGCCCTGCACTGTGTGGAGCCCTGCGCCATTTGTGGGTCCCTGTGCTCGCCGCTGGAGGGGACGGGCCCTGCACTGTGTGTGTCCCTGCGCCCTGTGTGTGTGTCTCTGTGCCCCTTGCTGGAGGGGACAGGCCCTGCGCTGTGTGTGTCCCTGCACCCCCTGCTGGAGGAGACGGGACCTGCGCCCTGTGTGTGTCCCTGCGCCCCCCGCTGGAGGGGACGGGACCTGTGCCCTGTGTGTGTCCCTGCGCCCCCCGCTGGAGGAGACGGGCCCTGCACCCTGTGTGTGTGTGTGTCCCTGCGCCCCCTGCTGAAGGGGACGGGCCCTGCGGTGTGTGAGCTGCGCCCCCCCAGAGCCAGACGCACACAGCAGCAGAGGGTTTGAGGCTTTATTCAGGCAGGTGCCGGGGGGCGGGGTGCAGAGGGGTTGGGCCCTGTGTCCTGGCACCCTTGTCACAGGAGCAGTGGTCGCTGGGCAGGGGCAGCAGAAGTGGAGATGAGCGGCGACTTCTCACCGGCTCCGGTGCAGCCCCTCGACCAGCTCGGCGTAGTGGGGCTCTGTGGGGAGAACAGGGGGTGAGAGGCTGGTGCAAAGCCCCACTCCCGCCCCCCAGCCCCCTGGGCTCTGCCCTGCCCGTGCCCCTCACTCCCGACCTGCAGCCCTCTGGGCTCCCCCCAGCTCTGCCGCTGCCCCTCACTTCTGACCCGCAGCCCCTGCTAGCCGAGCCCGGGGCTGTCCCCTCACCGTGATCGGGCTGGAGGTGGCCATGCCGGATGAGGAAATCCAGAGCGACCAGCGCACAGTTGGGTTTGAAGTCACCTGATGCGATGGCGTCCTTCACCTGCGTGAGAGAGACCAGCTGTGGGCGGGCGGCCGGCCAGCCTTCCACTGAGAAGCAGCCACCTCTGGAGTGGAGCAGCTGGGAAACGGCCACACATAACGGTGCCCGGAGCTCCCTAAGAAGTGTATGGTCATGGGCTGTCGCCATGGGCGATAACCATTGCAACCTCCCTCGGGGTGGGTCGGGGCAGCCACAGGGCGTGAGTGGCAGCACTAACTGCCCGGACGGGTGCCCCTGACCCCCTCCCTGCAGCACGGTGCCCCCCAGTGCCCAGCCTGCCAGGGGGAGGTGCCCCCTACTGAGCACCCTGCCCCACAGCACAGTGCCCCGCAGCGCCTGGCCCTGACTGGGAAGGGAGAGCGCCCCTGCCCGTCGCTCACCTCATCCAGGCCCAACAGGTAAAACTCCTGCATCTCCCCATCGCCCACGTGGGGCTCGAACTCCTCGGGCAGCTCCAGGTCGAAGACAAACTGGCACTCGGGGAAGATGCCCCGATGGTCCTCATAGGTGTAGCTAGGGGGAGGGGAGAGGGGGTCAGCAGGGTGGGTGCTGGGGGGGGGGGGGCAGCGGCTCCCCATTGGACCCTGCCTGGTTTCCACCCCCCTGACCCCCTGGTCCTGGGCTCAGCCCCTGCGGATGCAGTTCTCCCCTTGGCCGCAGGGTGATGCTGACCTGGCAGAGCCAGGGGCTGGGGTGGGGGTTAGAGAGGGTGACCCCCCACCCCGAGTTACCTGATGGTGCCCACGGGCCGGGCCTGGGCTGCCAGCGCGGGGGGGATGCAGGCCTCCTCCTGGCACTCCTTCACCAGCGTCTCCGTCACCCCCAGCCCCACCGCGATGCCCCCCGCCGCCTGGGGGACAGCAGGGAGTGAGGGCAGTGTCCTGCACGTGGGGTACCTCCCCCAGGGGCCTCCGGCAGGGTACCCCCCCCGGCGTGGTACCTTCCCCGGGGACTCTAATGTGGTACCTTCCTCCCAGGCCTCTCTGGCATGGTACCTCCCCCTGGGCCCCTCTGGCGTGGTACCTTCCCCCCAGCGTGGTACCTTGCCCTGGGCCCCTCCAACGTGGTACCTCCCCCGCGGTGCCCCCCTCACCAGGTTGTCCAGCCGGCCGGGGTAGGTGGGCTTGCTGAGGGCGCGGCGGCCCAGCCACATGCAGGGGCGGCCCCCGCGCCAGGTGTAGCCGTTCAGGTGGGCGCCGTAGCAGCGAACCCCCAGCAGCGCTGGGGAGGGGGGGAGGGAGAGTCAGTGGGGGGGTTTCCCCACCCTGGGGGGCACCCCCAGGCCGTCACTTCTCCCCTCCCCACTCGGCCCCCCCAGGCCGTCCCACCTCCCTGCCCCCCCC